TCACCGTGTTAGCCAGGATGGTCTCGATCTCCTGACCTCATGATCCACCCGCCTCAGCCTCCCAAAGTGCTGGGATTACAGGCGTGAGCCACTGCGCCCGGCCTGTTTGTTTTTGTTTTGTTTTTTGAGACAGTCACTCCACAGCCCAAGCTGGAGTGCAGTGGCCTAATCTCAGCTCACTGCAACCTCCGCCTTCAGGGCTCAAGCGATTCTTGTGCCTCAGCCTCCTGAGTAGCTGGGACTACAGGCGCACCACCACCACGCCCAGCTAATTTTTTTGTATTTTAGTAGAGATGGGGTTTTACTATGTTGCCCACAGTGGTCTCGAAATCTTGAGCTCAGGTGATCAGCCCACCTCAGCCTCCCAAAGTGCTGGGATTACAGGCGTGAGCCACAATGCCCAGCCAGAATAAATATTTTTATCGAAGTGAAAAAATACAGATAAATCACCAAGTGGGCATTAAAATTATTGTACACAAGTAGATGTAATTGTATATAGTCATTATGCCTTTGAAACGTTTTAACATCCAGGAAAAATGCCTGCAATATAATCATAAGCGGAATTGCGTATACAAAATCGTATGATCATAAAAGTAGACAAAAAAATACTGGAAAGAAGTATACCAAAATAGTTCTCTCTGGGTGACAGCATTATGATTCATTTTCTTTATAATTTTCTATGTTCTACAAATTTTCCGCAATCATTATTTATTTACTTGTTTATTTTGCTGCCGTTGTTTTTTGAGACAGGGTCTCTGTCACCCAGCCTGGAATACAGTGGCATGATCACAGCTGACCGCACCCTCAACCTCCTGGCTCAAGCGATCCTCCCTCCTCAGCCTCCAAAGTGGCTGGGACTACAGGCATGCACCACCATGCCCAGCTAATTTTTCCTATTTTTGTAAAGACAAGGTCTCACTATGTTGCTTAGGCTGGTCTCAAACTCCTAAGGCTCAAGCCATATGCCCAATTCAGCCTCCCAAAGTGTTGGGATTATAGGCATGAGACACCATGTCCAGCCCATTACATATTTATTTTTAAAAAATCACTCCAACTTTCAAATTTCTTCTAATAAGCATGATTACCTTATGAAAGAAACAAACACATTTGGCTGATTGTGGTGGCACACACCTGTGGTCCTAGCTAATTCAGAGGCTCAAACAGGAGGATCACTTGAACCCAGGGGTTCCAGGCTGCAGTGAGCTATGATCATGCCACAGTACTCCAGCCTCAGCAACAGACTAGGACCCTGTCTCAAAAAAAGAAAAAAGCAAACATATTTAAAAGACTATTTGAGGGACAGGTGCGATGACTCATGCCTGTAATCCCAGCACTTTGGGAGGCCGAGGCAGGTGGATCACCTGAGGTCAGGAGTTCAAGACCAGCCTGGCCAACATGGTGAAACCCTGTCTCTACTAAAAATACAAAAATTAGCTGGGCATGGTGGCGTGTGCCTGTAATCCCAGCTACTCAGCAGGCTGAGGCATGAGAATCACTTGAACCTGTGAGACAGAGGTTGCATTGAGCCGAGATCGCGCCACTGCATTCTAGCCTGGGCAATCTCAAAAAAAAAAAAAAAAAAAAGAAGAAGAAGGAGAAGAAGAAGAAGAAGGAGAAGGGAATGGCTCCGTGGAGTTGAGAAAAGGAGAATTAAGTAGTAAAAATGGGTGAGGGCATTCATAGTTCTTCCCAGAAAAGTTTTCTCACCAAACAACATAAATATTTGACGTCTTGGTAGTTTACTCCCTATTTTTATCTCTTTTCTTGAAATTTTTACAGACAACAATAATGCTCTATGATCTGGAACTACTTTGAAATTTTTACAGACTGCAATAATGATCTACGATCTAGAGCTACACTTTAATATGATAGCCACTAGCCACACATGGCTACTGACCATTTGAAACATGAGTAGTCCAATTTGAGATGTGCTGAAAGTGTTGAATACACACTGAATTTTGAAGACTTAGTATGAAAAAGAGAATGTGACATAATTCATTAATAATTGTTTAATATTAATTCCATGTTGAAATGATAATATTTTTATATACTGGGCTAAATAAAATATTAAAATTGGTTTAATAATTTCTTTTTGCATTTTAAATGAAGTTACTAGAAAATGTAAAACTACATGTGGCTTGCATTATATTTCTATTGGACAGTGCTGATGTAGAAACTTGGAGCCTTTCTCCTTTACTGACCTCTATCTTGAAGCAGACCTCAATAATCTTCTAATGTGGTCTGGTCCTGCTTACCTTAGCTCCCTGTTTGCCTTTGCATGGAAGTGGGGTAGCCACTTAAATATGAAGGACCCTCTGTTGGGCTGCTTAATTTCCATTCTGCTTCGTTAACTTTTTAAAAATTTTGTACCTAAAGAACTTGTTTTAATATACTGTACTGGAAATATCTGGAAATATATGTTCATGGTCAAAGAATCAGAAAATACTGACAGCAAAAATAACAAAATAAAAGCACTCATAAAGCCCACTATCCAGAGACAATCACTAATGATATTTTGGCATATATGCTTCCTGAAACTTTCAATATGCAAATATATATCAAGGCGCACAGATATAAATATTTTAGCAAAATGGGATCATACTGTATATATTATTTTCTAATCTATTTTCTTTTTTTTTTACCCAATCAAAAAAAAAAGGACAAACATCTTCCCACATCAATAAATGTATTTTTCCAATTTTGTCATAGTTTTACCCAAAAGTCACCTCAGAAATGAGGCCTTCTCTGACCACTCAATTTAAAATTGAACTCTTATGTGTGTATATATATACACACACATTCCCCTCAATGAATTACTTTTCTTTATGGTATTCATCACCTTCTCACATATTATATAATTTTAAATTTTTTGTTTCTCTTACTAGAACATAAGCAACATGAGAACAGAGATTTGCATCTGTCTGTTCACTCTACCTCAGAGCCCGTAACTGTGCTTAGCACATAGATGATGCTTGAATATTTTCTGCATAAATGACTGAATAAACTACACAGCACTTCATTGTGGTGTGTTTTCTGGTTGAGTTTCAAAATAGTTGATTTATTTCTGTATTTCTCCTATATCTACATTTAAGGCAGCATTTTATTTATTTATTTATTTATTTTTTTTTTTTTTTTTTTGAGGCGGCGTCTAGCTGTGTTCCCCAGACTGGAGTGCAGTGGCAAGATCTCTGCTCACTGTAAGCTCCGCCTCCTGGGTTCAGCCGTTCTCCCTGCCTCAGCCTCTCGAGTAGCTGGGACTACAGGC